GACTGAATGAGTTGCGGCAGTTTTTGTACTGGCTAAGGWGGCCATCTTGGTTTAATTCACTCTAAATGTACATCTTTGTGTGAGTTTCATTTAAGTTCATGCCGTGGTTCAGAAGGTAATTYGAGAACAGACAGACACACAGAGACACGGAGAAAAAAATTATCACCCCTGTCAACATTTTAGTGGCAGGTGATAATTTTCCCACCTTCCAGTCACATCACATACGTTTCCTTTTGCATTACATCATAATGAATAACCAGAGCTGACCTTTAAGGCTTATATGTCGCCCTCAGAGGCCGAAGCTAATTAACGTTTCCCTGCAGTGTCCTGTAAGAGATGTAGGTCACATTTGAGTCTTGAATAGATAATAAAGCCATTACAACCTGAGAGAGGCTTTTCTTTACAAACCCTGTGTGGAATAAAAAAGCTTTTTGTATTTGGGAGCCGTAGAGTTTCTCATCCTCGCTGCTCTGCCACGTATGTCATCAGATTAAATCCATTTTTGCTAATTGATACATTCACGGCTCAGACACTGGGCTTTTTGTATTCAAGTGGTGACTAAAAGTCGCAGCGTAAAGTTCAATGTGGACGGTGACAGAAAGTTTTAGAGGTTGAAATAGAGCTCACGATGCTAGTTTTACCTGGTTGATTTGCTCACCTGAGGTCAGTGCCACTTTAGGACCTGACAGGTAAAGGCTAAACGAGGAAGAATGACAACCATGAGAGGAAGACAAAAAATAATTTTAAAAAAGGGGAATGATTATAGGATGACTAAAACTGTGCTTGGTAGAGATTTGGCTTCGCTTGGGGTAGAATTGTTGACGTCCGTTGATAAGCTCGAACCCGCAGACATGCCGAGCCATCATCACTCACAGGGGCCTGTTGATTCCTGCACGTCACCTCCRTCCTCGGGTTCTTAGACCTGGCAGGCCAGAGTCCGGGGCATTTGGGTCAACACCCGGACCGCACATGACAGGCCCTAAATCTCTCTGTGTCAGACGCACTAAAACCGGCGAGACGCGCTTTTCACGTTAGAGATTACCCTCAAATTCGGGAACTGCTGCAGATTTGACTTTAAACCTGCCTTGGTCATCCAGTGAGCGCACCAATCACACGAGTCGATCGAGTTTATTGAACCGACCGACGTTCTGTGTGGCCGGTTGAAGCGGACATGGGGCCTTGGATCCGCTCWCATTCCAGGAATGGAAAGCAGCGCATCTCAGACGAAAGAATGATTAATGAGGTAAGTCTGAAGAGTCGGTGGCAGATTAAAGAGAAAAACAGCTGAGCAACCTTTTTCACAAAGTAAAAATTATGTTTTAGAACGTCCAGCTGTTGGTGGGGCTTCACTATGATGAATATTGAATATTTTTTGAGCATTTCTGCACTATTTTTATTCTAAAGGTGTGAAAATGTCAAAAATGTTTGAGTCAGAACAGTGCTTCAAAAATTCTTGCCTTTTGGATTACTGTTTAATACATCTAAAACTTCAGAATCAGATTGTTTTTAATATATTTTAGGTGAAAATATTACACTACATTAGTACTAGAGATTGATGTAATTTTTAGAAATTGAAATAAATACACTCCACTGTAGCAAACACTGTGTTCCAGTCATGAGGTAAAGGACACAAACACGACCTGTGACCCACTTCTGTCTGTTTGMGTTGCTGTTTGGTAAAACGGGGCCAACAGAAAGCTCTTCTGAGTGATTTTTATAGTTATTATTGTACATGAAATGATGAGTGCATGCTTTAAAGCTGGAGAGGGTTACGCTTCCTGTGGAGGTGGACTCGAGGGGTAAGTGAGGAGGTCAACTGCAAGCTCTCACAAATACTCAAACTTGCTCAGAAATTTCAGTTTTTCTGAACAGAAATCCTCACTAGAGAATGTAATCATAAAGAAAAAAGGTCGCAGAATCTGTGATTAAGAGAAGGATTTTACAGACACGCTGTCTTACAGAAGCTGGTGAAATAATGATTTCAAAAGTTGTTCTTTCATCTTCATCCCAGCAGAAAACATTTTGTGTTGCTAATCTGATTAGTCACAGCCTTAGGGCTGACTATTTTTGAGCTGTATCCAAAACTGCATATATATATATATAATCAAGACTTCATTGTAACAGAAGTTGAATCTGTTGCTTCTGATTGCATTAAACTCATAAACTACATGAAAGAAGTTCTTTAGTTTTTGGTTTAGCTTTCAAAAAATGATAAATTACAAGGAAGGCTGTGTGAGATTATTAAAACACATCATCAGAGATGTATAAAGTACTTGAAAAACAACTAAGCCAAAATACCTTCACAGAAAATAACTTTGGTAAAAAAAGGAAAAAATATTTAAGTAAAAGTCAGAAAACTGCTCACAATAATCAGGAACCTAAAAAGATGAGTTCCAGTCTAAATTAAAGTTGTAGCATGTAAACAAAGTGTTAAAGTTTATGTTTGGAATGTAATGAAATAAAAGTAAAATCACAATTAAAAGAAAAATACTTAAGAAAAATATGTAAGCGAATAGATCCTAGTACCTTAACAAGGTAATTGTACTTTGTTAGTGTACATCTCTACACTCACCGGCCACTTTATTAGGTACACCTGTCCAACTGCTCGTTAACACTCAATTTCTAATCAGCCAATCACATGGCGGCAACTCAGTGCATTTAGGCATGTAGACATGGTCAAGACAATCTCCTGCAGTTCAAACCGAGCATCAGTATGG